GCGGGACCCCGTGGCGCGGGGGAAACCGGTTGCAGCGAAACAGCGGTCGTGCTGGATGTTAAAACCTCTCCGATGCCCCAACTCCCAAGGTGCACGAGCGGGGTTTAGTAGACGTGCGACCAAGTAGCTCGCAGTTTGTGCCGAGTTTAGTTTTAGCCAAAAAAAATGAGAGCGCCGAGCCTTGATTCGAAGATCGAGTAGGAAAAACCGAACAGCACAATGTACGCTGTTCAGCGGGGATTCCTTATTTCTCCCCCAAACGTGCGCGCCAGACACCCTGTTGCTTCAGGTTAAATACAATCACATATGTAAATATTAATTCTATTTCTAAGAACTAATTAGCCTATGTAAATATCTTCCACGCATGCCCGTTAGCATCCCTGGGTGGTCTTCGGGGGTCCCAAGATGAAGGCCCATCCTCTTCATCACGCTGTTCGCTGATTGACGTTTGTTTCTGCGCAGACTCAGTTCTAGGATCACGTCCATCGTGTCCTTCAGGGTGTTTGGCTCTGGTCTTGTTGCTCTCTGGGTGCCTCCTGATCTCTGGAGCCTGGTGCATTTGCCCTCCCAACGCTGAGCTGTCTGGAGTAGAATTATTGAGGAGTCTCTTTTATCCCACAATTATCCCAATTATTTGCTGAGAACCAAGACCACTTTTGTTTCACTTAATTATTTTGTCTAACGACTAAGTGATAGCTTGTGCCCATGTCCTTCCACTACATTCCTTAATGAGAAAACAGGGATTAGTGTAACAGCTACATCGTTAGATCACTCTGCATGCAGAAATACAAGTTACAGTACTAAAGACTACTAAAAACTAGAAAATATTAAGGCTTTTTTGTTACAGTTTCACGTTTCTTACAATCCCCTCCATCACCCTTCCCCGCGGCGGCTGGCTTGCATCGAGCTCTCGGAGCGGTGGGAGGTAGAGCAGCGCGTAAAAGTAACCCCCCGGGCAGCAGCGAGCCGAGCGATTCCTGGGACGCGACAGGGAAAAGCGTGCAAATCGTTTCCTTCCTCCCGAGTGTGGCAAGGAGGCTTTCAGATTTACCAGGATTTGTGAGCGAGAAATTGTGACATAAAGTGGCGCCGGTGCGGTGCGGGCGAGGGGAGGATGAGGGATTCGGCTCCTCGAGTTCGTCTGTACAGGAAGAGGAAGGTGTGACCTTCGTGTATTGGCCCTGGGCCATTCTGTTGCAGCCCTGGGTTGTTTTTCCTGTAGGAATGTGATTATACGTTAGTACTTTTCCTCTGACTCACACGAGGAAGAATTAATTTAACACACTGGAGCTGAGTATCAAGATGCAGTAAAAGTTCTTCTTGCTGAAACATGTGAACACCGTGTTTTGCAGGAGACAAGAAGTGTAATTTGATGATTTTTGATACTCGAAGGACAAGCACGCATCCAAACTGCTACCTGTTCCACTGCCCCAGCGCCGAGGCTTGCCCGATGAAACCTGCGGCAGGATTTGTGAGCTACAAGATAACTAGAGGTAAAGAATCGTGAGAGCCACCAGTCCCCCCATGAGGTCACGTTTGCATCTGTGAGTTTTCAGTAGCGACCAGGAAACGTTTGGGGGTTGCGTTTTTGGTAAAATACTCTCAGCCAAGCACTGTAATTTGAGAATGCTGCTCTTTTGCTTTGTGGAAGATGGATGGGCAGGTGTGTGTTGAGCTGCTTCCCAGCTTCCCAGGAGCCCGGCTTCCCAGTTGGAATAACATCCTGACCCTTGTGAAATTGCTTCACATTAGATTCAGAACTTGTTATAATTTTCCCGTTCTTAAAACTAAAAAGAAGCTGTTTCCATGCTGATATATTCAAGAAGGGAAATTTCCTATATGTAATGCTGAAGGGTATCACTGAAAGCATTGGAAATACGGTGCCCTTGTAGCCATCTGCGTATTCAAAGGATCCACGCCACACTGACGAATACAGAATCACAGAATGGTCAGGGTTGGAAGGGACCTCTGTGGGTCACCCAGCCCAACCCCCTGCCGAAGCAGGGTCACCCAGAGCAGGCTGCACAGGACCCTGTCCAGGCGGGGCTGGGATACTCCCCGGAAACGGGGTGGGTCTTGAATATCTCCAGAGAAGGAGACTCCACAGCCCCTCTGGGCAGGCTGTTCCAGGGGTCCGTCACCCTCAGAGGGAAGAAGTTCTTCCTCATGTTCAGACGGAACTTCCTCTGCTTCAGTTTGTGCTCATTGCCCCTTGTCCTGTCACTGGGCACCACTGAAAAGAGTCTGGCCCCGTCCTCCTGACACCCACCCTGCAGATATTTATAAGCATTTATTAGGTCCCCTCTCAGCCTTCTCTTCTCCAGGCTGAACAAGCCCAGCTCCCTCAGCCTCTCCTCGTAGGAGAGATGCTCCTGTCCCCTCATCATCCTCGTAGCCCTCAGCTGGACTCTCTCCAGCAGCTCCTCATCTTTCTTGAAGTGGGGAGCCCAGAACTGGACAGAGTACCATATACACACAGTCAGAAACATTGGGCAAGCCTCAGAGCACCGCTGTGATGTTGCTGAGGAATTGGCAATGGTCATCATTATTTTCTGCTTTCAGTTAGGGAACCTGAAGCGCAGATGTAGAACTGTCTAAACTCAGAGCTTTATGGCATGGGGACTGCACACTCAGAAATTTCTCTCTGTCGTGTGCCGTGGGGTTTTTGGTAGCAAGTCTTCCTGTTGACCGACGTTGACTTTCACCAGACCTGTCTGAATGGCTCAGGTAAGAAACTGTAATTCGGCTGTCCTCCTGCCAAGAGTTCACAGGGTGCTTTCAGTGTGGCAGCTTGAGAGAGCAGAAATTTTGTATTTCTAGGGACTGAACTTTCGCTGACAGAGAACTTTTCCAAGAGGAGCTACGCAAGGAGCGTCAGCGGGGTGCGCAGAAAGGTTATTCACATGATGTTACCAAATATTTTTGAGCAAACACAGTCACAGAGGCACTGGGCAAAAGCAGTGTGCAGCAGATGAATTGCATGCCTGTAAAATTATCATTGGGACTGTTCTTCTCTCTGGCTCTTTCTTCCCTAGAAGAATATAGGGATTTCAAACAAAGAAACAAGAAATATAATCGTGCTTGTGCTTTTGTCCTGCACGTAGTATAACGCTCACTTAACAACTGAATTGCACATGCCATCTCTTTTTTCATTTTGCATTTTTTAGCTTCTGTGAACATTGAATTTTGGGACGATGATTGCTAACTTATTTACCTTATGTTCCTAAGAAGTTTTCAAAGGTGGCACCTGAGCGGTGTTGGTACTGACAAACATTTCAAGTTTTGTTTTTTCATAGGAGAATCTGCATGTGGTTACACTGTAAACCAAGCTAAAAGGGGGAAAGATACTTTATTGGTAATAAAGCAACTTAAAATACTGACGCTATATTAGCAATGACATTTTGTTTTTTCTTTGTTAAACTCTTCTTGCGGCTGCTAACTAATGGAAACAGCCTGTGGCTTGGGAAGTAAAACACTTTCTGGTCCCTGTGGCAAAGAGCTATTGCTAAAAAAGGAATAACATTTCTGCTTTCTGCTGTCCACGTACTTCTGTGGCACTTGCCGCTTCCACACCACTAAGATGCCCAGGCAAGACTGGTGGCTGCTAGGAAAGTATGCTTAGCAGGTGTTTGGTTTGTTTTTTACGAGTGACAACCTCAAATTTGGTTTCTAACGCAGCGTATTGGATTTGAGAGATCAGCAGGACCACTTCGGTGTTTTAATCTCTTTTTAATGTTTGACTTGTGCGGTGCCCTCGTTCTTTCTTACCCATGAGGATATCTGTCCTAGCACCCCAGCTGTACCCTGCACACAACAGTTTTAAGCAATTGCATTTACCTCGTTCTTTCTTACCCATGAGGATATCTATCCTAGCACCCCAGCTGTACCCTGCACACGACAGTTTTAAGCAATTGCATTTGGGAGCTTGTACTCTAAAATGGAGACAAAGAATTCTGTAAAATCAACGTTTGATGCTGAAAATGTGGAGCAGAGTTAGTTAATGCAGGCAGTCACGTGAATTAATCTGAGCGCTGCAGAGCAGCGGTGATACTTCTGTACGGGACTCGTCACGTAGCCTCCCTGTGCGCCCTCCACCCGCCCTTTGACCGCTGCGTGCGTGCTCGGTGCCTTGCTGGCTGTTGCCCAGGCGAGCGAGCTGAAGATGGAATCGCAGGCTGCAGGTGCTTTGTAGCTGTCACGCTACGTCCGCTGTTTGCTGAAGCGCACGGCGGGGAGCGTCCCTGGGAGTTTACAAATATCTGCAGGGTGGGTGTCAGGAGGATGGGGCCAGACTCTTTTCAGTGGTGCCCAGTGACAGGACAAGGGGCAATGGGCAAAAACTGAGGCACAGGAAGATCCAGCTGAAACAGAGGAAGAACTTCTTCCCTCTGAGGGTGACGGAGCCCTGGCCCAGGCTGCCCAGGGAGGCTGTGGAGTCTCCTTCTCTGGAGATATTCCAGCCCCTTGTCCTGTGCAGCCTGCTCTGGGTGCCCCTGCTTCGGCAGGGGGTTGGACTGGGTGACCCACAGAGGTCCCTTCCAACCCCGAACATTCTGTGAGCGTCGGGAGCAGGGAGAAAGCCAGCTGGGGCTGACTCCGTGGTGGTGCCAGGCCATCTCCTCGCCGGTGTGGAAACGTGTCCAGAGCTGCAGCAGCAGTTTGGCTGTCTCCGACCACACAGTTTCTGATTATGTATATAATATATTTCTATGTTATGCAATATCTGAACATTTTGTTATTTAAAGCCGCTCTCTCGGAGTATGGCTTTTGTCAAACCTTGCGGTTGGAGCCTGTTATCTCTGTTTCGGATCTTACTTTGCTAACAAGCTGGTGCTTGACTGGAAGGTTAGGATAAAAATTGATGTCTGTGATTCAAGTGAAGTATCTGCTGTGCTCCTGTTTAAAGCATTGCCAGTTTTTTGGTCTATTGCTTTTGGTTTGTTTTTTCTTTTTTGTGCTTCATTTCTTTGTGGAGTCTTAAGGCTTGGAGATATGTATTATAACAGCAGCCAAGTAGGCTTCTTTGCATGTATAATAGAGCTGAAATATATCCATCCCTCTAGATAAGAGTTCCTACTTGAGAAAAAAGTGATAACGAAAATGTCATGGACTTTCTGTTACTTATTTCAATTCCAGTGCTGTTAACAAACCTCTTTGTTTCTACAAAAAAAGAGATGAGTGAGAGTCAGAACTACTTGAGAGCGTATTCCCTTTTAAATGTTCTGTGTGGCGGCTGAATGATAATATATACATATAATAATTATAAATATAATTATAAAATTACATATTTATACATTAAAATCTGATTGATAGCAATTAGACAGTCTTTCCATGACCTCGTGCCCACCCAAAGTCTCTCTGTAATACCTGTCTAGAATCAGGTAGCTGCTAGGGTTATCGCTTGCATGGGATTTCTGTCACATAACACTGTTGCCCTGCTTCCAAAATCCGTTTAATGGTATTCACCCCCATGTTTTGCAAGGAATACGTATCGACTTCTGGAGAAAGTACAAAGTGTAGTCTGCTTCTTGTGGAGGTCTCCACTGCAAATACCTTGGAGATTCTTGGAGCAGTGTCTGTCTTCTAGCACGGCAGTAGGAGCTCAGCTCTTCCCTGCAAATCAGCACGTGTATAAAGTGGCCTGTAAAATGGGGATATTGTTGCCACCTGTATTATAAGTTTTGTATGTGAATTGAATCGTGTCAGGCAATCACAGGGTGCCTCATTGTTACGAGGAAAGGGAGCCTATAATCATCTTGGCTGGGTGGAAATGTGTACATCTGACAAATAAAAGTAAGGCTGATAATACCTACTTCTTAACTGACGGAGGCTGAGAATGGTTTGAAGGCAATGGGCCTCCTCACTCTGCTTTTCACTGGTAAATAAATGCTTACGTGCATGCAATATGAGCACAAAACAATCGGATTGGGATGATCGCTCGGCACAGGTAAATTCTGTAAGAAGTTGCAGTCAGGGTCTGATGTGCCCAGGCTTGAGGCTGACAGGTCTGAAGACACAAAGAGAATTTAAAAATCAGTCGGCGTATTTTAAAGAAAGGAAGATCTTGATGCCTCTGTTTCATTAGTCATTACTTTCTCCCCTTATATCTTACTTACTAAGAAATACAAACAGAATAAGCCCGTGGTAGTCAAAAATAGATTTAATAATTAAATACTGGTATTTCCTTTCTGTTTCCAGATACCCATGGCCCAGAGGATACATCCGTCAAAAGTGAGGACTTTTCTTCAAATGGATATTCTGCATCTTCAGATGCTGGAGCCTTTATTTCTCGCAGTCGGACTAGCCATCAGAATCGTACCGCTGCTTTGCAGCAGTCTGTCTTTCATCAGGCATCTGAACTCCCCAGCCACGTGGGCAAGCATTTGGGCAACACTGAATTTCATACAGTTTTTCCTGAATCTCAGCGGGCAACACATCCTGAGAGCTTAGATCCCGTCCCAAGGCAGCAAGTAATTAACCTGCCACCAAATACATCTTCTGCTGTGCGAATTGGAAACCCCTCTGCTTCATTCCCCACTACTCAGTCCAGCGCTCCTGAACCCAGCAGTACTACTCTTACTGCTCTGCCTACAAGTACCACTCGATTGGCATCTCATACAACGTCTCTGCATCCCGGCGGTGCTAAACCTACTGCTGCCACCACCACCACCACCACCACAGCCACCTTTCCACCTGCTGCGACCGCTGAAGCTAAGCCTGGTATCCCTGCCACCAGCATCGCTGTTCCTCGTGTTCCTCTTTCCAGTCCCACCACTTCTGCTTCTACTTCTACAACCAAGCGGGTGACCGCGAGCTCCAGCTCTGCTACTGCCCCGTCGGGGCTGAGAACTCCAGCCATCCCTCCTGAGCCAACAGTTGTCTCTTCCAACGATACCAGCCATGTAACTCTCCTCTCTTTTTCAGCTTCCGCCCTGCCTGCTAGTGATTCCCCAGTGTCTTCTCAAAACGACCCTCAGGGTTATGACCTGTCTGATTCGGAAAGCTACCTGCCAGAGGGTGTTCTGAGAAGGAAGGGTGGTGTTCAGCTGGGAGAAAAAAGCAGCCTGGTAGCAGCTTTGCTTTTTGGGGTGATATTCTTGTTGCTAGTTATTGCGCTGACAGGGAAGAAAATACATGAATCCCTTCAGAAGAGGCATTATACCAGGCTGGATTACTTGATCAATGGAATGTATGCTGATGTATGATGGGGAGAGGGAATAAGACTGTGAGGAGCATCTCTCATCTTTGAGAGGATGACTATGAAATGGAACAGTGGATACTGACATCTCGGAAGAGGATGGATTCCTTTTTTGGCCACTGATGGGAAAGTGGCAGATATCTTCCGTGGGGAAGAGAACTGCTTTTTCTACGCTGAACTGTAATGTCTATCATTTTTGATTTATTACTAAATCTGGAAAATAAATACTAAAATCCAAGTTAAGCTCAGAAGGTCTTATATTTAAGGAGAAAAAAAGCATTTGAAGAGCTTAATCTGTACTGTGACAAGATTATTGGAATAGAAGTAAATCTAATAAATTGAGTACCTATGCAGTGCGTGAGCGTTTTCAGTGCTGTTTGCCCCCAAATGCCACAGTGTTAGGTCTGACAATCCTGTTTGCTCTGTCTGTAGCCTTGAAGGGGTGCTTGGTAGTAGAGTTTTGCATCCGAATGGTTTTAGGTACAAGCAGTAAAAACTGTAGCACGCATAACACAGTTGGCTCACATATCCACAAACTACATGCAGCTAAGGAAAGTTGGCTTTAATGCTTTTTTCTTCATCACAAGCTATGCTGAAAACCACATGCTGCAGATCTGAGTTTGCCTTTTCCAAAGAGCTTGCCACCCTGCAGCACATTGGTTTTTTGCAATATGTATCAGAGAGAAAAAGTTTTCTCATATCAGAGTAAAGCAAGCTGCCATCAAGCTCTTTTGTGAAAAACTGCATGACCAAGTGACTTGGCGTATGCACGAGGGAGAATCTGTTCTAACACACCAAAGTCCTTAACAGCTGAGACTCAACACCTGATCGCAGAGCAGGCAGAAACTTGGGAGGGGGCTTAGCAAAAACGACAGCTATATTATTGTCAGAAGACACTTGGAAAGGTGTGGAGTCCATCTGCTAAACTTCTAAAGGGAGGTAAAAAAGTTATAAAGGAAAATGGTGGCTGTGTCGTAGGAAGGTGCCAACCTCAAAGAAGTTACCTACAGTCAGCAGGAGCGGAGGAACAAGGTGGCATTATCTTCATGCTTCCGGTGTTCTCCTGCTTCCGTCACGAGGCTGGTGGCTCTCAAAAAAGCTACTTGCAACAGTGCTGGACTTGCTGTCCCTCCTGAACACGGAGCTGTTACTGTCTGTCAGAGCACACCCTCTTCATCTCTAGGGTCACCTTCATGTGGCTGGCAATAAGCATAGCTGCTCCGTGTGTGTCCCCAACTCTGCAACAAGAGGCAAGTGAGAGTACGTGTGAGCATCTACTGCTTGCTACACAACTTCCAGTTTGTATTATTCACATTTCCCTTCACATACACCCAGTCTAAACCTGTTTCTAGGATGAGAGACTATATTTCAAAGTATCTGTGTGGCAGGCAGCATAATCAACAACAAACATCAAGACAGAGAAGGAAGGGTGCCTCATGAATACAAGGAAATAATTCCATTACAAAATATGAAACATGACTCAGGTCCAAGAGGTTCTTGGATCTGTCAAGCTCAGTGCGGTGAAAAGCAGGCGTGGTCCAAAAATGGCCTCAAGGCAAGTTTTCTGAGAGCTCTAACAATGACTTTATGCAGAAAATTCTCTGAAAATTCCATTATTCGAAGATCAAAGAAAAGTCAGTGTTGCTTATGTCAAGAAGTTGAATTCTTGTTATCGTGGGGCTGCAAATTGCTTTACAGATACAAAACCAGCTGGTCTTCTACATTGCTTAAGCCTGGCAATGCTTAAATGAAAAACATTCTGGATAACCTCTTAAAAGTGAACAAAATTACAAAAGAAAAGTATCTCAAGTTCATCAGCTTGTAACCTAAGTTTCTTTCTATTTTTTATTTTTCTACATAGCTATTTTCAAAGGTTTCTGGTCAAGCAACGTGACAAGGGGGGGACAACGTTTCTGGGAAATTAGTTAATTAAATGATAAATACTAGGCCCAGTTGTGGGCTGTAAAAATGTAGGCACAGATCTGAGGCTGACCATAATTTTCTTCCAAAAGAACTGCAGCTTTGTGAGAAGCCTTCTACGTCGCTGACGCCATCACGGCAGTTATTGCAGGAGAGGTGCTGAGAACAGTCCCTGAATCCTCACTGCGTTTCTGCTGTAATAACTGATTTGTTGGGGGGAGAGATGGTTGGTATTAATTGATACGGTACAGTACAGTAGAGATACATTCAAGAGAAGGCAGGCAGACGTATCTCAGGGTCGTTCACAGCACTGGGCATGTATTGAGCTGATTTAATTAGAAACATTGCCCCCCAACCCAAACAGCAATGTATATCAGGCATGGCGAATGGCAGAAGTAAAGGAGAGAGGTACCATGACTAGTTTGGTGAGGATGCCGAGCTGAGTGGCCTTGCACAATTTTTGAGTGAAACAAACATCTTTAAATATTCTTACGTTAAAAATCCTTTTTTTTTTTTGCTTGAGCAAAGAAAAGTAGGTATTAGGCAGGTGTACTGAAACACTTCTCATGTTTTTGCCATCCATTTGTCGTCTTGGATTAAGAAGAAATGGAATTGTTCGGCACTGGTTTGGATCTTTCTGGAAGGGCCTCTACAAGCTGTGTGCGAACACTAGAGGGCAACAACAGCTTATCAAATAGAACTGGCAAGTTTCGAGGATGCCAAAGCAAAAATGTTTCAATTAGCTCGGTTTTTAACTTTCCAGTCAATAGCTTTTTGATTACAAAAATGTTTGATAGGAAAGCTGTTTTGTTTATTGGAAGGTTCTGGCTGGAAGATTATATACACACACTTTTAAAACTTACTATGTCATATAGTGGTAGTGAACAGCTGGAAAAGACAACAAAGCTAACCACATTATCTCCTCTATTTTAGTAACGTTAAATCAGATTGCATTATTAGTCACATATTGGCATTGCCAGTTAACAGAGTAGGAGATAGAGATTTCCCATCATCACTCTTTCAACTATGGTGCCTAATTCTATGCATTTTTGGAGCTAATTTTTTTGTCTGCACAACGCTCTTGTGTTATGAAACAGAGAGGAGTAAAACAAAGTAACTGTAAAAAAATCCATCCAGTTTGTTATGCTTTTCAACACACTTTACCTAAAACTACTGTGCACTCTTCTGTTTTACCAGTGACATCTCCTACGGTCTCAGCTGTGCACCACCCATGTAACGGAATCATTAGCCACCACGATATGACGACAACCGGTGCACTTGGGTGGCTCTTTCTGAAGGTGACCAGTTACGTTACGGCATGAGGCCAAAAGCTGATTGCCTTTAAACACCCGGAGAGTGTAATAAATGCTGTAGCTTCTCGTTCTCATGTTGTTGTTTTATCCTTCTGAGCAAACAAAAGATGTGTGAATATAGACTGGCGTGAACCGAACTGGTTTGCGGTATTGTACAGTAAGACAGGTAGAAAGCCCAAATTTTATAACCACTGCAAACAATCATAAAGAAATAAATTGCAGATCTGTTTGAGATGGATCAGAAGCGTGCATAGTCCGTACCTCAAAGGGCTGCAAACTCAGTACAGCCTGTTCTGTTCAAATAGTGCTTCCATTTACTGTAATTCCTGTAGGAGCAGGAAATGCTTATACTCAGGATTCTTTCAAGTAAATTACTAACCAACTAATAAAAAGAAACAAATAAACCAAACCAAAATTATTACATGAGAAGACATTTTCAAAAATGAAGCTTATTCTCCTTCCTCCTACAAAGCCATCTTAGTGGATTTGAATCTGATGACACCGTTTGATACTGCTTTGATCCCACCATCCCACGCTCCATGCCGATACCAACATAGAGTTTAAAGTACTGTTATTGCAGTCAACAGTTTCTACCAGTATCCCTTCACGCAGAGGAGCTGTACTTGGTGCTCTGTCACACTCCTGAAATCGGCCTCGACTGCTGGGCCCTTCCTACGCATTGCACACGCTCTCGTGTACGTAACACACTTCTCTGCCTCCCTGTTCATAGACAGTTGTGGGATAGCTGCATCCCCTCGTCACTCAAAAGCCTGGCACATCCCTTCAGGAGCGTCCATGCTATTCCCAGATGCTTTACCAGCCTCTAGATGGGTAGGTCCCCTGAAGGACTGGGATATGTTGAAAATTTTTCTTCATCTTCAGGCAGCCTACACTCACTCATAATTTCACAGTCTAAATTGGCTTTTTTTCTCTTAGGTTTCTACACTTCTTGGGGATATCAAAGTGCAAAGCATAAAACTGCTGCTCTTTGTCCTATTTGTGTTTGGTAGATATTATAAACAGCCAATAAATGTGTTTTTACATTTAAGTACAATTATGCTGATCACTGTTTTCTGCATATTGGCTTACTTCATGAAAAAAATCCGGAGGGTTGTGCATTAACTTCTGTTCTGTTACCTCTCTCCTTCCTACCTATAAAATGTCATTGTCATAACTGGCAAAAGGGTTTAGGTACGCCATGCCAAAGGAGTTCTGATCCCTCTTCTTTCTGGTTTGCTTTGTTTTTAATAGAAAACTGAAAATTCCATCATACTGACAACATCAAAGAATCAATACTCTACACACTCTGTATTTTCTTGGAGATTTAACAAGCAATTCACACCCAGAACAACTTCAAGATGTTTTAGGTTAGACTGGTTAAACCATAGGCATGTTTTGAAACACTTGGTGATTTGAACAGCCACTCTGAAGACCACAAAGGTGTTTCTTCAAAATGCTAGGGCGGTAAGGATGGCTACGTAAGGTATAAGTACTTCTAAGATGCTTTGGTACCTGCCACATCAGAGAGACAGCTGAGTTGTGGCTGAACTTTGAAAAGCCATTGGGAGCAGCACCAGGTTTTCTCTGTGCCCCCACTTACACTGAAAGAAGGATGCAATCAATGTGCTTGGACTTTGACATTGTGACTCCTTCAACTCTTCTCAACATCACCTAGATTAAAAATTTGCACAAAGTTCAAACATTTATTCTTGTGCTAGGAAGACGGTAGAAAAACCCTCACTGTGACAGAGATTTCCTGTGGGTTTGCCTGCTG